GGATTACGATGGATTATTGAAGATCCCTCCGGGTTCCTTAGGGTTCCTCCGGAGTCTTCCATTCTAGATTACTAAGGATTCCTGAAGATTCCTGACGAAACCCTGCGCAGCAGCATGCCGCGTCGCCCGCGTCTCTCGCCACTTTCGCCAGAGGCCGCGGGGAGCTGCGGATTGGGGCGGAACTGGCGCGAGGCGTGGGCGACGAGGGCATTCTGCGTAGTGTTTGTACGTAGTGTTTCCAGGAGCGCCCCGAGTCGGCGCGCAACCACGCAGCAGACAACGACGCCCAAACCTCGCGTCAACCGCGTCGCGTCTCACGTCACGGTCGCCCCAGGCCGCGGGGAACCGCGGTTTTCGAGCGGAATTGGCGTGAGACGCGGGCGACGGGGGCATTCAGTGTAGTATTTTTACTTGGTGTGTTCAGGAGCGCCACGAGTCGGCGCGCTACCACGCGGAAAACAACGCGCCCGAACCCTTGCGCAGCAGCATGCCGCGTCGCCCGCGTCTCTCGACAGTTTCGCCCGAGGCCGCGGGGGGTTGAATATTCTTGCAGACATATATATATGTATATACATATACATATATATATATGTATGTATGTATGTATGTATGTATGTATGCATACACATATATATATATATACATATATGTGGTCGCCCCCCCCCCCCCCCCCAAGATTTATATGTTGATGGGGCCTGAAGATTAAGTTCCTCTAAGGAAGCTTTGTGTTGTTTGTGTTGGTGGCCAGTAATGCCCACCAAACGCTGCTAGTTTCTAAGGTTCCTAAGGCAACCGAAGGAAGGTGGCCACCACGCACTGCTATTTTCTAAGGTTTCTAAGATTTTTCAGATTTCCGCAGCCATCCCAAGGCCTTGCAGAGCAGCCGCGCGCGCACAGCAACCCTGAATGGCCACCAAAAGCTGCTATGTTCTAAGATTCCTAAGGCGACCGAAGGAAGGTGACCACCAAACATTGCTATTTGCTAAGGTTTCCAAGATTTCTAAGATTTCCGCAACCATCCCCAGGCTGGCCTGAAAGGTTGCGAAAATTTTAGAAATTCATTTTTTTTTTTAAAAAAAAAAAATGTTTGGTGGCCACCTTCCTTCGGTTGCCCTCGGAACCTTAGAAAATAGCAGTGTTTGGCGACCATTCTGGTGGCCACCTTCCTTCGGTTGCCTTAGGGATATTAGAACATAGCAGCGTTAGGCGACCATTCAGGGTTTCTGCGTGCGCGTGGCTGCTGTGCAAGCGCACGCAACAGCAAGCCGCGTGTTGGTGGTGTTAGCAGCGCGGCAATGACGCAATTCCCATGGACGCCCGCTTAGCGGCTTCCGACGTTATGGCTGGCTAACGGCGAGCCGCAGAGGCAAGGACGCAAGGGTGCCCCGCGCATGCTATGTTCATCATTGCAACGTGCGCAACAGCCATGCGAAGTCAGACGCGTGCCCTTTGTCCACCCCCGCAGCGATCTGGATTCACCCCAAATGGTTGCATGCCTCCCCGAGCAAATTCGCCTAGCACCCGCTGCTAGCTGTTCGACTCCTGCGCGGCGCCTGGCCCACGGCGGCGGCGGCCGCCTCAGTCCGAATCCGAGTCGATCGCCACGACGCCTGTTGAGAGCTTAGAAGCACGGCTGTCGACGAGGGAGGGGATGGGGGGGGGGGCGAACGAACCGCCCGACAGCCGCGAGCAGAGGAACAACCATGCCCTCGACTTTACGGGCCGTCATTCAAAAACCCGCTGGTTAACAAGCGGAAGAATCCTTCGACGCCCCGCGAACGACGCCAGACTTCTTTCCCCCCGCAACCCGTGCCTGGGAAGATCGCCTTCATCGTCTCCTTGTCCACGGGCGAAGCAGTGACGCCGCCCGCGGACGCGGGCGCGCCCGCGGGCTCCCCCTTGATGGCCGCGCCCGCGGGGTCCTTCTTGATCGGCGTGCGGCGCGCCCGCTCTTGCTTTGCATTGCCCTTCTCCGTCTTGGCGGGCGCGAGCTCCCCGATCACGCTCTTCTTCAAGGAGTTGAACTCACGAGCGTGATGGCGCCCGCCTGGTGGAGACCCCGCAGCCGGTCGAGCTCCTGCGAGAGGGTCCCGCGCGGCGGATCATCATCCTCATCGTCCTCGTAGTCGTCGCCGTCAGCCCCGCGGCGGTCGCACCTGAAGCCATCCGCGAAAGGGTCGGGCGACGCCTCGCGGTGCTCCTGCGCGCCAGGCCTCGCCCGCTTGGCTGGGCGCCCCCCTTCAGGCGCGCCTGGGGCTGGCATCTGTGACTCGCGCGCGCCGCCTCCTGGCGCGGCTGAGGCCGGCGGTTTTGCCGAAGGAACCCAAGGTCTCGCGACCACGCAAACGCGGAAGGCGGCCAGGAGGTGTTTATATATATGTATACATATATATATATATATAATCAATTACGGATCTAATTCGTGGGGCCTTTTTGTGTCTGTGGCGGTCCAAATGCGCTCGTCGGGAAAATCCGAGGCCTCGCGCGCGCCCGACGACGCCGATCACGATCGAGATGTCGTCGGGCTTGGGCGCGCCGCGCAGCTGCGCGCGCTTGGCCATCTGGTCGGCCGCGGCGTGAACATCATCATCGGTGCCTGTGAGTATGACCTTGAAGCTCTCGTAAGGCACGTTATCAACGATGCCGTCGGAGCAACAGATGATGATGTCTCTCGGGTTCAAATTGACGGCGCCGTAGCCGGCCTGCGCCACGGCGCGCTCCAGATCAACGCCAACCCTGGCCACGCCAGGCAAAAACGCGACCTGCTTCGGACCGATCGCCTCGCCTGAAGCCGTGGCGATGCGGACGTGGTGGCCCCTGGTGATAAATAGCCGCGCGTAGCTTCCCCTCAGAGCCGACTTGCGCCATGCCTGGGCGGATGCGCCCCCGATGCGGCAGTGGGCCATTTTGGTGCCAGACGCAGAGAAAAAACCGACCGTGGTGGAGCCGTGCAACGTGGTGGTCTGGATGGCGAGCTGCAAGAGCCTCGTGGTTTATGTTGATGTGGTTTGCGTAACTGTTTTGTTCGTCGTTTGGTGCGTGCGCATGTTATTGTTCCTGTTTGCTCGGGCCTCGCCGTCCACGCCGCAGGAGCGCCCGTGGCCATGCTCCGCGCGTCGCCGCCGATCCTGCGGACCACCTGGGCGTCGAACTCTTGCTTGTCGCCCGCCCAGCGGAACCGCTGGCGGAGTAAGAAGCGGAGGCAGTTCCGGAGGTCCCACGAGAGGTCCTCAGGGTTGAAGCGGGGCGCGGCTCCGCTTGCCCCGTCGCGCGCGACGCCCCAGTTAGCCGCCGCCGCCGCCATGTCGGCGTTGGGCCTGTTGAGGAGCGGGTGCTGCGCCATGGCGGCGCACCAGGAGGCGAGGCGGAGCGTCATCGGCATTGCTGACGCGAGGGTTCGTGGAAGCTGCGCCGCGAGTTCTGCGTCGAAGCAGGCTGGGGCCAGAACGCGTTGCAACATGAAGAAAAAGTTGCGCGGGAGGCAAGTGAGGGCGACGGGGGAGAAGCGCAGAGGGGAAGACGGAGGAGGAACAGGAGGGGCAGGAGGATGGGGGGGAGGGGAAGGAGGAGGAGGAGGAGGAGGAGGGGGAGGACGAGGAGGAGGGGGAGGACGAGGAGGAGGAGGGAAGAGGAGGAGGAGAAGGAAGAGGAGAATGAGGGAGGATGGGGGAGGAGGATGCACAGGAGGAGGGCGACGACGAGGAGGAGAGGAGGGGTGGGGATGAGGAGGAGGAGAGAAGGAGGAGGAGGGGGAGGGGGGGGGGAGGAGGAGGAGGAGATGAAAAAAAGGCGGAGGAGGATGGGGAGGGGGAGGGCGAGGGGGAGGAGGAAGGAGGAGGAGGAGAAGGAGGAGGAGGAGGAGGATGCGATTGATGAGGAAGGGAAGGTCGAGAATGCACGCATTGTATTGGGAAGCATTCTACTGCAACGATGCAAATGCAATCCAACGCAACGCAACACAGAACTTGGGAATTTCGCCCCTGTGTGATCTGGGGCGCTTCGCCCCTTGGAGCCTTTCGCCCCGTCTCTGGATGGAGCATTTCGCCCCGTCTCTGGATGGAGCAGTTCGCCCCTATGTATCTGGGGCGTTTCGCCCCTTGGAGCTTTTTTCGCCCCATCTCTGGATGGAGCAGTTCGCCCCGTCTCTGGATGGAGCAGTTCGCCCCTATATATCTGGAGCATTTCGCCCCATGGAGCCTTTTCGCCCTGTCCCTGGATGGAGCATTTCGCCCCGTCTCTGGATGGAGCAGTTCGCCCCTATGTATCTGGAGCGTTTCGCCCCTTGGAGCCTTTCGCCCCGTCTCTGGGCGGAGCATTTCGCCCCGTCTCTGGATGGAGCAGTTCGCCCCTATGTATCTGGAGCGTTTCGCCCCTTGGAGCCTTTCGCCCTGTCTCTGGATGGAGCATGTCGCCCCGTCTCTGGATGGAGCAGCTCGCCCCTATGTATCTGGAGCGTTTCGCCCCTTGGAGCCTTTCGCCCCGTCTCTGGCTGGGGCATTTCGCCCTTGCGTGATCTGGAGCGCTTGGCCCTTTGGAGCTTGTCGCCCCTTCCCTGGATGGAGCATTTCGCCCCTGCGTGATCTGGGCCGCGTCGCCCCTTGGAACATGTCGCCCCGCATCTGACTGGAACAATCCGCCACCTGGGAGCGGGGGGGGCAATGGGGAGAAAAGAAGAGGATGAGGAAGAGATGCGTGGAAGACATGAACAGGGCACGAACATGTAGATCTTGGGGGGGTGCGAGCATACATCTATGTATGTATATATATATATATATGTATATATATACATATATATATATATATATGTATGTATTGTTCGGGGCGCGCTCCCGAACCCGAGCCCGAACCCGAACCCTTACACCCTCTACGCCCTCTTTAAGCGGATCAAGAACACCGGACAACCCCAGTAGTAGTAGTAGTAGTCGTAGTCGTAGTCGTAGTAGCAGTAGTAGTAGTAGTAGTAGTAGTAGTAGTAGTAGTAGTAGTAGTAGTAGTAGTCG